GTAAAAAGAAATATTGATTATAATTTTTACGTGAGAATTATTTTTGTTTAAAACGGAGGAAAAACATATATTTTGGTATTTTAATATAAATCCATATCTGGATTAAATCCATTGAAAAATAAAAATATTTATATTATGTGTGTTTTAAAAAATTTTTTGGAAAAAAAGAAAAAAAAAAAAAAAGGATCGATATTAATGAGTTAATCAAATTGTATGGTGAAATATTTAAATTCAACGATATCTACATTATGTTTCTTTAATATATAATTTTAGAGAAATTTTATCGGACGTTATTATATTATTTATATTAAACTCGTCTGGAAATAAATTATAATACAATCATGGTTTTGAATTATTAATAGTCTGAAATTTATTTACGCCCTGTGTTACAAAATTTCACTTCATTGTTTGATATGTCATTTTAAATCGTAGATATTGCACATATATAATTCAGTAGCTCGCAATCGGCCAAATCCAGCTCTTCTCTTCGTACCAATGGAAAAGAAACAAATTTATAAGATATTTTCGTATGAATTTAAAGCATTGAAGTAACTAAGTAACATTTATCGAAGGAAATTTGCAATTATCAACGTACGATTCTAATATTTCAACTTCTTTTTACATTAAATTTTAATATTAAAAAACATTAGAAATAACGCACTATAATCACATTAATTGCACACCAGATAATTTGACAAGAGTTATTCTCGAGCATTTGGACTCGATTCAAAATTACAAAACTCGAATATACTGTTTAACCAAGATACTATGAATATCATTGACCAAAGCGTTTATCAAGAACTGGCGAAGCAATGACTCATCCTCTAATGGTAGCCAATAAATTTGCTCTTCCGTTCTCATTCTTCACGTTACTTGTTAAATATAATTATTTACACTCTCGCATTCGCCACGATGGATCACGATTCTATTTCAACGATTTAAAATTTTATTTGAAAAAAAAAAAATAGAATTTATTTATACTCATCCTTACTTTTACATAATCCTATAAGAAACAAATTTCAAAACAGAGTGAAAATGGACTCGAAGCGCCTGCCGGGAAAGGATCTTTCTCTCTTTATAATTTTCTCTTTAATATTTATTTTAACTCGTTTCAAATTTTTCCACGCCTTTCCCTGCACGAGAATTCCGCGGTAAAGTTCCGCACAATACCATCTAAACTCTCTCCCCCGCGGATGGCGTGTGCGCGTGCGCTCGTGCTTATAAATTATCAACGAGCGGGTATCGCGGCAACAAGCGCGTATTATCTCGAGGCGAACACTGGTCCGGAGGCTCCTCTCTCC